AAATCCCCACCTGGGGAAACAACCTTTCTTGGAGAGGTGACCTTGGTTAAAACACATAGCACTAAGAAGAGGAGCAAATATATTAAGAACAGTATGCCATATACGCCAGGTCCCTTGAAACATATGCTGTACAGATGTTTCTTCCCTCAGCGACTGTGTCAAGCAGCAAGGATGGACTGGCTTCCGGCAGTTCTGGAGATTGGAGTCCATGATCAAGCTGCTGGGAAATTCCATTTCTGGTGAGCGTTGGCTTATAGACAGCCACCTTCTCCCTGCCTCTTCAGATGGCCTTTCCTCTGTGTGCATGTGGAGAGAAGAGAGCTCTTTGGTGTCTCTTCCTCTTCTTATAAGGACTCCAATCCTATTAGATTAGACCCCATCCTCAGGACTTCCATAAAGACCCTATCTCCAAATACCATTATTGGGGTTTAGAGCTTGAACATATGGATTGGGGGAGGAGGACACAATTCCATCCATAACAGTCACACTCTTCTAGGGTCACAACCTGCAACATGCCATCATCATGGAAACTTTAACACAGCCATCACTTCCTGTCCTTCAAGCTCTCAATGCCCTCACTCTCCCCACATCTACTATCTGACTACTCTGATTTGTACCATTTCTCTTTATTATCACCTCCCTAGCGCCCTACTCATGCCCTTCTTTCCCCTACTTTTCTTGGACCTCACAACTGATACTCCACAAGCCCCTGGCCTAGGCATTTCAAGAGCACCACTTCTGGATCATCTCCAAGAAACGTGGATTTGAGAATCCACAGATGGACTTCTTAGCTACGTCCTATCTCCCTAAGTATTGACATGATGCCCAATGAGATGTCACCCATTCTGGAGGGGGGCTCCGTACGATACTCAGAGCTGTACAGCAATCCAGGAGTCTATCGGGTCCTGCCAACAGTTTATCCCTCAATTCCATGGTATTTGTATTTTATGTATTCATTTTATATTTTAAAGAACATAGTAACATTACATTGCGTGGAATATTTTTTAAATCACCAATAATTTCACCACCTAATACAGCTATTTCCCATTTTATGTGTTCCCTTCCATTCTTTGATTACATGATTATGTATTTTTAGGGCATTGCAATCAAGAGTGTGCATAAAATTTCACGTCATTATGTTTTTATATTGCTATGATCTCCATAATTAAAATTTTCATGACTGCATAATATTTTATCAAGAGACTATAGTATGGTTTAATTAATTATCCTAGAATCAAACAATTAAGTTAGTTCCAATTTTCCCTATTACAATAAGAATGGAGTGCAATAAACATTTTTGTGTTTATTACTTTGTTTCCTTATTTGGGATTATTTCCTCCTGACTTATTTTGCAAGTCGAATCTCTGTGTCAAAAAAAAAAAAATGTAATTCTTCCCTATCCAGTTTGGCTCAGTGGATAGTGTGTCAGTCTGCAGACTGAAGGGTCCCAAGGTCGATTCAGGTCAAGGGCATGCACCTTGGTTGTGGGCACATCCCCAGTAGGGAGTGTACAGGAGAAACAGCTGATCGATGTTTCTCTCTCATAGATGTTTCTAACTCTCTATCCTGCTCCTTCTCTGTAAAAAAATCAATAATATATATATATATTTTTTTAAATGCAATTCTTTTGGAGTTCCTGTGCATTTTGCCATGTTGCCTTCAAAGTCTTTCCAGCCACCTCCACTGCCAGTGGGAGTGCTTTCCTGGGAGCAGTGCATTTTCACAAAAACGTTTGTTATTCTCCAATTTTAAGTGTTTAGGAGACTTGAGAACAGGAGTGGCCAACACCCTTAGGCTACTTGAAGGCAGTGGGCCCACAGTTTCATTTTCATGTGGTAGTATTTT